CAAGTACATCATTAGGTTATTTATTAGAGATCTCTCTGTTTTTAAATGTGAACACTAATAGCTATAAACTGCTCTCTTAATTGTATCCCACAGATACCATTTTCATTTGAGTCTAGGAATATAAAATTTCCTCCCTGATTTCTTCAATGACCTGCTGTTCACTAAAAAGTATATTGCTTAGTTTCTAAGTACTTTCTGTGGTTTCTTTTGCTGTTGATTTCAGATTTATTCTATTCTGGTCTACGAAGATAGAATTATTTCAATGTTTCTATATTTGTTAAGGTTTGCTCTGTGACTGCTAATGTGATTAATTTTAGAGGTTTCATGGCCCATTAAGAAGAACGCATATTCTATATCTATTGGAAATAATAGTCCGTAGATATCTGTTAAATCTAATTGATCTATAGTATAGGCTAGCTCTGTAGTTTCTCTGCTGGTTTTTACTTTGGAAGACCTGATTAAAGATAAGAATGGGGTACTGAAGTCTCCCACTATTACTATATAGGACCTACCTAACCTTTCATGCTATTTGGTGTTTGTTTATTGAAATTGGGAGCCCCCAATACTCAATGCACAAATATTTACAATTGTTCTATCTTCTTGATAAACTGTTTCCTTCATTAATATGTAATGCCTTTCATTATCACTTCGGGCTAGCTTTGGTTTAAACTTACTTTATCAGATATCAGAATAGCTACAGCAGCTTGCCCATGGCTCCTATTTGTTGGGTAGTTGATTTCCATTTTTTGATTCTCAGTTTTCTTATGTCAGTGAGGAATATATTTTGGCGACAACAGATAGTTGGATCTTGGTTTTTGATCTAGTCATCATCTTTTAATTGGTTAGGAGAGGCCATTTGTATTTAAGGTTATTGAGAGGGGTCTGCTATTCAGTTGTGGATTACTGGTAGCTCTTTTCTTCCTCCCCTCTTGGTATTAGAAGTTTGCTGGTTTACTCTGTTGTTGGACCTGATGGATCCCTTCCTGGCTCTCCTTTGTCTGTGCTCATGAGACTGTCTTCCTCTATGTACAGTGTTCCCACTAAGTATTCCCTTCAGTGCTAGCTTGTTTGTCATGAATTACCTTAGTTTGTGCTTATTTTGAAATGTTCTTCTATCTCCATCAATGTTATGAGATAAATTTGCTGGGTATGGAAATCTTGGTTGACAGTTCTTTCTTTCAGGAACTGAAATATATCATTCCATGTTTTCCTGGCCATTCATTCATGCATTCATTCCTTGTGGGGGACATGCCATAGTGTGTATGTGGTAGGCAGAGGACAACTTGCAGGAGTGCAATCCACGTAGGTTCCAGGGATTGAACTTAGGTTGCCAGGCTTGGCGGCAAGTGCCTTTACCCACTGAGTCACCTCAGTGGTCCAAAATCTGATGTTATTCTCATGTGTTTGCTTTTGTTTGTCTATGAGTAGTCATTTACCCCTTATCATTTCTAATATTATTTCTTTACTTTGTATTTTTGGTATTTTTGACTATGTTATATCATGGAGAGGTTCTTCCCTGGTCTATTTGGAGTTTTAAACACCTCTTGTGTTTGGATGTCCATTTCTTTCTCTGGGTTTTGGAAATCTGCTATAATTTCACTGAATAAATTATGTATGCTTTTAGACTTTATCTCTGTTCCTCTTACCCATGGTTTGGTCTCTTGAGCTTATCTTTGCCACTGATGATGCTTTCACTGTGTTTTTATTTGATAAATTTATATTTTTTTTCATTTCTAGATTTCTGTTTTGTTTTTTTTCTTTCTTTCTTTCTTTCTTTCTTTCTTTCTTTCTTTCTTTCTTTCTTTCTTTCTTTTCTGATTCCCCCTCCATGTTTTTAAATTTGTCATCCAAATTACTGACCATCTCATCCACTTTGCTAACTTTCTTGCCTAGGCCCTTACTCCATTCATCTACTCATATGTCATCAATCCTTTTAAAGGCAGAACCATGAAATATTTTCTACATTTCAGTCATTTCATTATCTTTGGAGTCCAGGATTGAGGAGCTGTGAGTTTACAGAGGTGTGGCAGTGACTTCTGGGTCATAAGCTTTGTGTTACTTTGCTCTGCTCTATACAGCTGTTGGGATGGAGCTTCTGCTAGTTTTTATTCCTCCTCCCTCTCTTTGTGTTTTTGTTTTATTTTACATGAGCCCTCTTGGTAAGCTGTCATCACTGACATTTATGTTCCCTATTGCTTTCTAAAAGGGAAGTCAACTGCAGTAACAGATTAAAAAATATGAAATGCTTCACAAGTTTTTGTGTCATCCTTAAGAAGGGACCATGCAAATTTCTTCTGTACCCCTCCAATTTTACTAAGTGTGCTGTTGAAGCAAGCACTGAAACTATAGTTTTTGAAAGCACAATCTGTCATTATCTACTAACATAAATAATTATGTTTTCTTGATCTGGGGTTGGTAGCATGCTTGCCTAGCATGTCCAAAGCTTGGGGGTTGATCCCCAGCACCACATAAACCAGGTGTGGGGCACACGTCTATAATCTGAGAATTTGGGAAGTAGAGGCAGGAGGATCAGAAAGTCAAGGTCATCTTTGGCTAAGTGGCTGTCTCAAAAAATAAGTGTGTTTTCTTTAAGTGCTTTCTCAGCTGGAATTAGTGCTACACATCAGTCATACATTTATGTACAAACTTATGAGACAGTGTGTAGTATTTTTACTACTAGAAAGAAAAGAAAGTAGCCTGAATTTGTATAGTTAATAGGCCTATTATGTAAGTTACAACCAAACAATGGAATAGTACATAGCCATCCTAAAAACAAAAAATTCAAAAAACAAAACAAAACAATCAAACTAAAGACTGATACAGAGTAAAACAGAAGTAAGTTTGCCATTTGTAAAATTTGCCAATGTAAAAAAGGCAAAGTACAGAAAAGCATGCTCAGTATGATCCTATTTGGGCTTTTAAATTTTATAATTAGGCTTATATGTGAATGGAAACATTCTGCAACATCACCTTTGGCAATGGGTTCACCTTTGGTGCTTTCCTGACTGGCTTTCTAACCATAGGATTGTCCCAGAGGCTGGGGGCTATCTTCTTTCCCTTGTGGAGTGCCAGCAACCAGTATCCATATGATAAGGGATGAGCGAAGAAAGAAAAGGAGGAGGGGCTCAGGCAAGGGAAAAGAATGGAGATCAATCCAAAGTGAAGATCAACCATGTGGCAGGGCAAAGCACTAGCTAGGGAAGGCTAACATGAGTGCTGGGACAGGCCAGAAAGGGAGCGTGCAATGAGGAAAAAGAAGCACAGAGAAGTCAGCTCCCACATGAAAGCCTGAAGTCATGATTCAGAGCAGCTAAGAAGTAGTTATCACTGGCCCCAGAGCACCAAGCATTTTTGGTGAGAAAGAAGGTGCAGCTGCAAGCCACTGCTACAGTCCCTACAAGGACACAAGTGCCTTGTGTCTCTTTCAGACAAGGAGGAAGGCCCAGGAGCCTCTAAACACACCCTCTCTCTTCTGGAAACAAGAGACTAGCAATCCCCAAGGCCTCTCCAGCACTTGCTTACTACTTTCCTTGCAGGGCCTTGGAAATGTCAATTGAAATAACACATGTAAAGCACTTAATACCATCTCTGGCAGAGTAGGCCCTACAAAAATAAGCCCATTATTAAGTTGTTTACAGAACTTTTCAAGAGTTCTAAGTATTACAACTGCAAAAGTCATTGAGAAGGTCTTTGATTTCCAGCAAGATCCATGCCTCCCCACTTCCCTGAGGATAAATAAACAGACTGCCTTCCTAAGCATTCAGTACAAGCTAGGAGCTGCTGCTTCTGTGTTTTTTATTTTATTTTTTTCCTTTTGTTAGACTTTCCAAACAAAGCTGCCCTTATCAGACTACAAGTCTAAAAGCACGCCGTCATCTCAGAAGCCTGTGATTTCAATAGCCGTTGTGACTGTAGTACATTTTCCTTTCTTTCTTGATATGGCTAGCACAGGAGCCCACTTACCACAGCGGGAGGGTCATTCCACTCTTCATAGGAGATGGCTGCGTATGGATAGATCCGGTCATTGATGATCTGCAGGGTTGCCAGGGCAATGGCTTTAATTGACTGGAAGTATGCTTCCCAGAACCATCGAGCCTATAAAGAAAACAACACCGCTGGAGGTGAGCAAGTGAGACAGTGGGAGAACTAGGTGCCCTTGTCAAAGCCAAGTCTGGGTCTAGGTGATTCTGTTATTCCCAGAGGTAGGGGGGATCCCTGCTGACCATGCCAGTTCCATCAGAGGGTCGCTTTATTAAAGGCAGTCAGAATAAAATGGCACCAATGAAGGCACACAGAGTCAGTGAAAGAAGCTCTGTGAAGATGAAAGTACTAGAATGTGACACCAGGCCAAGTTCTTCTTTTTTTAATATAACACAAAGGCCTGGGGAGATGGCTCCATGGTTAAAGCATTTGTCATATAGGTATGAAAACTAAACATTGGATCTCCAGAGCCTATGGAAAACACTGGGTGGCCATAATGGCCCACCTATAAGTTGGAAGTTGGAGATAGGAGATCCACAGAGCAAGCTTGCCAGCAAGACTAGGTGGATCAGTGAGCTCTGACTTGACTGAGAGACCTGCCTCAGTGAATGAATGGAAGAGCAATCAACAATAATTCCTGACATCAACCTCAGGCTTCCACATGCAAGCACCACACAGACACACAGACACACAGACACACAGACACACACACACACACACATGCATATATTCACATGCATACCACACACACACAAATGAAAAAGGATACAACATGCATATCGCAAAGGGTACAGGACTTGTGTACAGCTAAGTAAACGTTTACATCTGTACATAACTACTACACAGATATACTACACAGTCCAGCACTGCAGAGTCCCCGACGGCACTTCTACTCAGCATCTTGTCTCTTTAAAAGCACCCATGACTCAGATTTCTTGTACTCACTTGATTTCCACAGGGATGGCATCAAATGACATTCATTCTTTGCCACTGACTTCTTTACCACACTAGGAATACCTAATCATGTTTTGGAATCAAAGCAATGCTGGCCTCATAAAATGAACTGAAACACATTTCCTTTTTTTCTATTTCTTAAGAAATTTCATGCAAAATTGACATTTTTCATCACTGAAAAGTTTTAGAAGAGTTCACCAAATAAGTCACTGTAGTAAGTTTCTTTTATATATATATATATATACACACACACACACACACACATATGTATCAGCTTCCCAAATACTAGGATTGCAGGCGTGTGTGACCAGGCCTGGTATTTTTATTTTACATGAGAGAGCATCTAACTCTGTCGCCCAAAGTTGCAATCCTCCTGCTTCAGCATCCTATGTATTGGGATTACATGCACATGTTAACATGCCTGACTGAGTGGTTTTAAGTTACTGGGGTTTTTGGAGGGTTTTTTTTTTTTTTTTTTTTGAGACCGGGTCTCCTTATAGCCCCAGCTGCCATGGAATGCACTGTGTAGACCAGGCTGGCCTTGATCTCACAAAGATCCATCTGCCTCTGCCTCCCAAGTGCTGGGACTAAAGGCATGTGCCACCACACCCAGCAGAATAATACAAATTTTGTTATCAATTTGAAAAATACTGGTTTTTAAGAAGATTTGAAAAACACTGGTTTTTAAGAAGATTCTTATTTCATCTAGACTGTTACATGTACTGGAATAAAGCTGTGCTGAATGCACTCGGGGCCTGCAGTCTGTAGTGGCACACTCTTCATTCCCCATACTGTTGCTCTGTTTTCTTTTGTACTTGATCAGTCATTCTGGAACTTGGTCAGTTTTAAGAATTTTTTCAGAAAGTCAGCCTTTGTTTCATTCCTTTTCTCCACCATGTATTTTTTCATTTTATGTTTTCATTTCTTTTCAAAATATTTTTTATTTATTTTGTGTGTGTGTTGGGGCGGGGGGGCTAATGCGTGCCACACTGAGACCAGAGCAGAACATCCAGTGTTTTCCTCCATTGTCCTCTTCCTGTGTATGTGAATGTATGCATGTGTCTCTGTGTGCATACATGTATAAATTTCCCACCTGAATACCAGCCAAAGGCCAACTGTGGAACACAGCATGTAATTCAAGATGTCTCCAGTCATCCTCCCCATCCACAAATTGCAATTCACTTAGAGAGGAAGAGAGCTCTGCCAATAATCACAGCTCAAGTGTCTCGGCCTGAGTATGAGTGAGCTTCTCAGGTTTAATTGCTTCTGCAGAACCATGGAGACAAGTGCTCAGAAGGCATGGTAATTTACAGCTGCGTAAGGCCTTGCCATCAGCTACCTGTCCACAGAGACAAGGTCTCAGCCATGCTGTCAATGTATGAAAGCGCCACTCGCTGCTATCCTCCAGAGAGCAAATGCAAATACTATGTTCCCCCATCCCCAAGAAAAATATGAGCCATCTTTATATCTATGTAAGAAGTACTCTTCAGCAGCCATGCAAGTCCCCCTTTGGTGGCTGTACAGCTGAACAGTCACACAGGAACAGGCCAGATCAGTAATGCCCTCACCAAGGTATTTAACCTTCCTTGGCTAAATTGACACCACTGTAAAGGCAAAAACACAGATTTCATAACATAAGAACTGAAAAATTCCTATAACATTTTTACATTAGAAGCTCTGAAAGGGAGAGGACAGGGGTGGGTATGTGTGGAAGTTAGCTTCAAGCTATCACAAGCAGGGCCTGAGGAAATGGATCAATGGACAAAGCACTTGCTGCACAATAGAGACGACTGGAGTTCAAATCCCCAGTATCAGCATAAAAAGCTGGGCAGGTGTCCACTTGTAATCCCAGCACACAGGCAGTGGAGACAGGAGATCCCTGGGGAAGCTGGCTATTAAGACTAAGTAGAATTGATGAGTTCTGGGTTCAATGAGAAAGTTTTCCTCAATAAATAAAGTGGAGAGTGATTGAGGAAGACACTAGACAAGAGTTTCTGGCCTCCACAAATGTGCACACACATGCATATACACATACCCACACACATGCTAACTTGCATATACATACACGTACACCACAAGTATACACGCAAGAATAACTATTGTAAGCAAGCAGGAATTCACTTGAAATTGTTATTTCAGTGTGCAAGTCAATTAAATGGTATGAATATTTTTTATTTTCAGTTATGCCACGCCAACAGGATTAGCAATTAACAAGTGTTTACAAGAAGCCAGTGCAGCACAGGGGAAGGAGCAACAGTGACGGAGCATCTCTATGACTTGAAGCTATTAGACCTACCTGCTTTTTGCCTCTCTAAGATGAAGATCATACCATTGACCTCAGGCAGTTGTGAAGATTCAAGGAGATGAGGTTTACAGAAATCATCCCTGAGGGCTGGTACAAGATAATTATGACTGCTCCACTCAAAGTACATGCTATGGTTTGAATATAAAAGGCCATCCACAAGATATATGCCTTGAATTCTTGGATCTCAGTTGGTGGGTACCATTTTGGAAAGTTCTGGAAACTCTAGGAGGTAGGGCCTGGTTGGAGGAATCAGGTTATTGGGGGCATGCCTCTAAAGGCTATTCTGCCCAGTCTCCTCATTCTCTTCTCTACCATGAGTTGAAAAGCCTCCTCCTTCACATGCTGCCGCTGCCATGATGAATGACATACAATATAGTACTGGACCATGAAGTATTGTCCTGGGTATCAGAGTATTCATACATAACAGGGCAATGTCTTGGAATAAGCCTTTTGGGTTTTTTCCCTTGACCTTCTCATTCGTGCATAGCTGAAATGCAGACAGGACTAGCTACAGGTGGCACAGCTGTAACTAAAACAGAAAGGCCACCATACTACAGGCGACAGGAGCAGACCACCATGCTGTAGGCAACAGGATGAGAAAGAGAGAAAGGTGGTTTCCCTAATGGCATCATTTAGTCAATACAGACTGCTTTCAGTGGAAGGCAAACAGGTCCTTAGTTCTTCACCATGGTGAGGCTGTCTTCTATATTCAGTTAAATACCTTTCATATACTGTCTCTTATGCAAAGACTACATTTCCCAAAATACAAAATTATTTTGTTGCAGGCAATAAGATTTTACACCTGGAAAAGTCAACAATCAGAACTGTTAGCAATCAGTTAGCAATATACAAAGTAATTATAAAACCAAGGAAGGTAGAAAATTATAGAATACGCTCAATAAAATTAACAGCTCTATTTCACTTCCATTAGGTTCCAGAAGGCCACAAAGAACATCAACACTAAAACAACTCTGAACAAAGCAAAAATTTAAATTTTCAAAAGATAAATAACTTTGTATGATACAACCCTGCTAAATTCACTGTTTTGTGTGGTTTTTTGTTTTTTTAGATTCCATCGGCTTTTCTGGGTGCATGATCATGTCATCTCCAATTGAAAACAGTTTGACTTTTTTGTTTTCTAACTTTTGCCCCTTTTCTTTTTTTCTTTTTCATTGTTTAGGACTCTGACCACACTGCTAAGTAGAACTGTTGAAAGTGAACATCATTATTGAGATGTCTATTAGAGAGAGGGGTAATGAATATGTTTCCAGTAAATGGAGTCCTACTGTAGCACTCTTTCAATGACACTTTATCAAGTTATGGAAGCTCCCTTCTTTTGGCTGAGTGATTTTCTCCAAAGTGATTGCTGACTTCTGTCAAATGACCCCCCCCATAAAGTAATCCCATGAGTTTCTCCTTTATTTTATTAATTTAGTAATTTATAATGGTTAAACTCCCTGAATGTTAGCCAGCCTTGCATTCCTGGCTTTACTTCGTGAAGATCTACCAACCAACCCTTTTTCCATATGCTGAGTTTGCTTCATAGTATTTTCTTTAGGGTTTTTTTTATTTTGTACTGAGGAATAAGGAGTTTATTAAAAGACTTATTATTAATGCCATGGACACACAGATAGGCAACAGCATGGTGGGAGCTCTGAAGAGAGTTAGGGCCAAGTACCAGAGACAGACAGCTTGGTGGGGCTGAGGAGAGGAGATCATAGGTTACAGAGGAGAAGGATGGGGTCTCATACTTTTCTGAGGCTGGGGGAGGTTCTACAGCACAAGCCTGCAGCCAAGCAGGGAAGGGGGTAGGAAGTTAATATGTGCTGTTATTTTATATAAAACACTAACAAAA